AAAACGAAAAGAAAAAGAGAAAGAAAGGAAGAAAGAAAAAGAGACCCTCCACCCGGGCTGGGAGGGGAAGGCGCTCAGGGGAAGAGGCTGGCTTAGCTTTTGTGAGGCCCTGGGTCCCATCCCCAGCGACCTCCCACCTTCTCCCACCCCAAAAGGAGATACTTCAAAATGGAGAGATGGCCTACAGAGCCAGGGGATCACTAGATGGAGTCAGGATGCAGAGGAGAGAAAGGGCGGGCCAGGGCGGCCCTGTGGCCTGGGCGCAGGTCCCACTGAGGAGCTGTTTGCTCGCTGGGAGGCCTCAGCGCTGCGGGGCTCTCTCTCCAGTCACCCCAAGACCCGGCTGCTCCCTTCCTGCCCTGGCGCCTGCCGTGGCTCCCCACTGCCTCCGTTCCCAGCACTGATTTTCAGGGTGGAACCGGCAGAATAGATGAATGACAGTGACAGTATTTTAGGCCTTGACATGGGTCAGACCTGGGACCTCAGAGCCAGACAGGGAGGAGGTCTTGCATCCCTGGGGCCCCAGCGGGAGAGAGGCCAGCCTTCAGGTCTCCGGTCTTGGCTGACTCCGGAGGGGAGAGCGGCTTCCTGTTCCCTTTCGGGATTTATGCCAGAGTTGGGGGCGGGGGCGGGGGTCTCAGACCATCCTGGACACTTCCCAACGCCAGGTGCTCCCTGGGCAGCAATCGGGCCTGCGGGCTGGGGCGACCCCTGGTGGCCAGCAGGGGGCTAGACACCCCGGCGCCCTCGACCCTCCCCAAAGCCTCATTTCCTCTTCTCCCCTCTCCCCTCCCCCTCACCGTCCTCCTTTTTCTTTCTTTCATATTTTGGTACCAGGGAGTGAATCCGGGGGTGCTTTACCACCGAGCCACACCCCCAGCCCTTTTCATTTTTATTTTGATACAGGGTCTCGTTCCATTGCCCAGACTGGCTTCTCCCTCTCATTCTTCTTTCCAGTAGTGGGGATGGAACCCAGGGAGGGGTGCACTACACCGAGCCACATTGCCAGTCCTTTTAATTTTTTTTTTTAATTTGAGTACAGGGTCTTGCTACGTTTCCCAGCCTGGCCTCCAACTTGTGATCCTCTTGCCTCAGCCTTCTGCATCACTGGGATGACAGACGTGAGCCACCATAGCCAACTTTGTTTCCTTTCCTTTTTTCCTATATCACCAGCTCTTTTGTTTCCTCTGTAGCTTCAGTTCTTCCTCCAGTGAGCCCCCTCTCAGTTGAAGACCCTGATCAGGTACCTCCAAACCCCGGCTATGTGGGGGGATACTAAGCAGGACCGGCTGGAGGTGGGCATCAAATTTATAAGAGCACTTTCACTCCTGTTCCTATACTATTCTCTTAAGCATTAAAACACACACACACACACACACACACACACATTTTTTTCGCCATTGTAGATGCCTTTATTTTATTTTTTTTTATGTGGTGCTAAGGATCGAACTCAGTGCCTCACACGTGCTAGTCAAGCACTGTGCCGCTGAGCCGCAGCCCCAGCCCCAAACTTTAAGTTTTAAAAGGCAGTACCTGTGCGTGATTTTAAAAAAGGAAACTTCACAAAATAGTATATGGTGAAACATGAGGCTGTTTCCTGCCAATCCCGAGACCCTGGTCCCCAGAGGCCACAGCTGTGACCAGTCTCCTTAAGAAGTAGCTAAATACAAGTCCTACTTGCTCCCACCATTTTTAAAAGAAGTGACAAGCCATGGCTCTCCCGAGGTTCACCCTGACACATCTTGGAGACGATCCGCTTGGCCTTTGGAATGGCTGCATGGTGCTCCACCTGGTGGGCGGGCAGCCCTCACGGATTTAAACAGCCCCCCCACACCCCCCACTACAACCTTGTTTTCATTCTTTCTTTCTTTCTTTTTTTGTCATCAAGAATGTGGTAATAAATGTCCCCTTTCCCCTCCCTGCCCTTTTCTGCCTTTTTAAAAGTAAACTTTTTATTTGGGAATAGTTTAGGGATAGTACAGAATCCTTGAAAACCCCTCTCACAGCGGCTCCCACTGCTAAGAAACTGACCTTAGTGTATCCCTGTCCGCCAAGCGGGGACTTTGACTTCCCCATTTTCCCCCTCAGGGTTTCTCTGTTCCAGAATCCAACTCAGGATTCTGTCAGACCCGCTGACAATCTGTAATACTGGTACAGCAGAGATGCTTAAGAAAGACACACACGCACACACGCACACACGCACACAGGCATCCAGTAGAAATGAGCACCGTCTTTACTTTTCTCTCTCCTTCTTTTATACAGCATTGTTAATTAAGACAAAGGACAAGAAGAAACATCCTTTCGTCAGCTTAATCCTTACAGGCATGGATAAACATTCTCAGGAAAACTTTGTTTATGGCCACAGTGCTCCGTATTTCTTATCAATTAACTTGTGGTTAGTTATTCCCAGGCAAACACATACATATATATATATAAATTTTACACTTGGCAGAACATTCTTTTCTCTTCTTAAGACAGCAACAAGGACACAGTTCAAAGAGTTCATACTTTCTCACAGCAAAACTTAACACTTTGTGTGCGTGAGCCCACAGGATTCTGCCCGACACTAAGCCCATCATTTTATACTCATATAAACATGACTGTAGGAAAACTCCTAGAAGGGAATTGATGGGTCAAGGGTATATGCATTTTTAGGTTCTTTCTTTCTCTCTCTCTCTCTCTCTCTCTTTCTTTCTGTACTAGGGATTGAACCCAGGGGTGCCTAACCATTGAGCCACATTCCCAGCCCTTTTTTACGTTTTATTTTGAGACAGGGTCTCACTACATTGCTTAGGGCCTCACTAAGTTGCTGAGGCTGGCCTCAAACTTGTGATCCTCCTGTCTCAGACTCCAGTCACTGGGATGACAGGTGTGCATCCTTACACCCAGCTTGCACCTTTAATTTTGTGAGAGCCTAGAAAACTGTTTTCCAAAATAACTGTACTGACAGGCAGTCCCACCAGCACAGTGTGGGACTGTTTCTTTCTCCGCATCAGTGCCAACTCCGTGTATTCAACTTTTTATTTTGGGGATTTTTTTTTTTTAATCTTTGCAAAACTACAAGGTAGAAAAAACTAAAGGGACCACACAGCCAAGCATGGTGATATAATGGGCCTGTAGTCCCAGCTACTTGGAGGCTGAGGCAGGAAGATCATTTGAACCCTGGAGTTCAAGGCCAGCCTGGGCATAGTGAGACCTACAAAATAAATATAAAATAAAATAACAAAACCCCCAAACATGTTATACACATATAATGGGATATTATGTAGTCATTAAAAGGAATAAAATTCTTATATATGCATATTGCAACCCAAATGAACTTTGAAAACATTATACTGAGAAAAACAACTGACACAAAGAGCAAATATTGTCTGATTTCACTTTTATGAAATAAGTAGAATAGGCAAGTTCATAGGGACAGAAAGGAGACAGATGTTAGTAGGGGCTGGGGGGGAGTAATTGTTTAATGGGAGAGTTAATGGGATAATGGAAAATTCTGGAAATAGAGAGTGATGATGGTTATACAATATTGTGAATGTATAGTTGATGCCAATGAATTATACAAACAATAATGGTTAACACAGGGCTGGGGGTGAGGCTCAGTGGTAGAGCTCTGCCTATCTACCATGTGCGTAGCCCTAGGTTCCATTTCCAGCACCACAAAAAACTGGGGGGGGGGATAAAGGGTAATATGGTTGATTTTGTATTATGTATATTTTACAATTCAAAACATTTTTGGGGGGTTGGGAATATAGCTCAGTTGGTAGAGCTATAAGGCCCTGGGTTCAATCCCCAGCATCACAAAAAAATAAACAAGAAAAAAAAAACCCTTTTTTTGTTTTGTTTTGCCTTTTTATACCTTTATTTTATTTATTTATTTTCATGTGGTGCTGAGGATCAAACCCAGAGTCTCACACATGCTAGGCAAGCGCTCTGCCACTGAGCCCCAGCCCCAGCCTCCAAAAAACCTTTTTTAAAAAAGATCTGAAATGGGACCTTTTTTTTTTTCCCTTCCAAAGGATTGTCTAACTAATTGCTTACAAACAAAAAAGTAAGTTTCAGTCCATTCTCCGGGGTTTTCTATATATAAAATTATATGACCAGAAAATAACTAATAGATTGAATCATGTTGGGGATGATCCTACCCAAAATTCTAACCTGAATCCAATAATGAGGAGGCAGCAAACAAATCCAAATGGAGGGGACTTCCAATTTTTTCCGTTAGCCTGAATTAATACCTAATGTTGAATTAGGTTAAATTTAGATGAAAAGGCAAACATTTTAAAAATAAAAAAATAAATGTAAATCTAAAAACTACAAATAATGTGAAATTAAGGCCATATCAAATTGTCGACATTTCTGTAACCTCTGACCTATAGAAAGAACACTTTCATATGATTCAACCTACAAATCCTCTTTCTCCTGTGTTCATACCTCTTATTTCTTTGCCTTGTCTAATTGCATTGGCTGGTACCTCCAGAATGATATTAAATACTCGGTAGTGGACACCCTCACTTTGGCTCTGATTCTGATGACTTTTTTCCAGAATTCATAACATTTCTCATTTGATCCATAAGTACTAGGGGTTATTTGGTTCTCTATTAAAGTTCCATCTCGCAGGGGGAAGGGCCATAATTGTCAGTTTTTGTTATCAAAACTGACTGGAAAGTCACTTGTTTTGCAAGCAGTATAAAGTGAAGCCTAGAGAGGTCACTCCTGAGTTAGGGCTGGACCTCCAGTTCCCTTGTTTGTGGGATGCAGGTCACATTGTGGGTTAGAGAACTCGGTCAGGTCCTTATTTCACCACGTGACCGAACGGGCTCAGTTTCCCCACCTGTCGACCAGACATCAGGTGGTCCGGTGCCTGGGTCTCCCGGTTCTGAGCGCGGACGGTGTGAACTGGGCATCTCATCCGGCACTGGGCGTCTTCACACCGTCCCCGCTGCGTCCCCACAGTACCTGTCCTCCTGGCCCGGAGCCCCATCCTGCTGGGGAGGGACTCATCCTTCTCGCCGCGGCGGCCGCCGGCAACCCTTGGACGGCCCGGGGCGAGAGCGCGAGCGGGGGCTGGCCCTGGATCGGGACCCTGAGCGGGGTCGGGGGCGCGACCCTCTGCGCTGGGGACCCAACTCGGCTTCCAGAGCGACACTGCCGGGAAGGAGGGGACCGTCAGCACCTGGACCCCGTCCCCAGAGACCCCAGCCTCCGCCCGCTGGGTCGCCCACTTCCCGGGAACTCGATCTTCATCCTCCGGGTCCCCATTCCCTCTCCACTTTCTGCTATTACGGGACTCCTCCCCAGGGACCCCCAACCGCTTCTCTCCACCCCAAATTACCGACCCCCGTCAATACTCCTTTACTTTGCATCCTTCTCTCTCCCTCCTGCCCGGAGCCCCTATTTGGTCCCGACCCCGGGGACCTCCAGAAAGTCAGCTGTAACCCGGGGGCCCCTGGAGAGCCCCCCTCCCCGCCCCCTCCCCAGGTTACCACTTCAGGATTCTAACTGGAGTCTCACGAAACCCCGCCCACGTGACCACACCCTTCCCGCCCAAGTCACGCCCAAGGTGCTGATTGGCTGAAAGTACGAAACTCCGCACAGCCATTGGTCTGACACCTCGTCCGTCTGCCCGTCCCCCCAAGGCCCGCCCCTTACTCACACGCGCTCGCGCAGGGCCGCCTCTCGGGCCGCGCAGACTTCGCCTTCAGCTTCGGCCGCGCTTGCGCGCCGCAGCACCTCGTCCAACCGCTGCGCAGACTCCGTGGCCACCGCCTCCCAGCGCGCCAGGGCTTCTGCGGGCACAGCGGGTGCGGTGGGACTGGACGCCCCGAGCCCACCCGCGCCACTCACGCCAAATTTAGTCTGCCTGCCTTCTGTATGCTTTGCTTTATTTGAATTAAATTGTGTGCCATTCCCATGGAGTTCACATACCCTTTTATGGGTTGATATCGTTTTTGTGAGTCGTTTACAAGGCGTTTTCATATTTTGTTGCATGGGCATTGTTTTGTGACATTTGCATGGCCTCTGCATGCCATTTGCATTCTTTTCATAAGTTTTCGTGTTTATTTGCATGACAGTTGCAGTACTTTTTCATTAATGTATAGCATTTGAGTCTCTAAGAACACGGTAGCTCCTCCCACCTGCAGCCCAGCCCACCCTATTGCGTCCCAACACACCTGTCAGCTCCCCGTTCTCGACCCCCATCTGGGTTCCCTGGGCTTTGGCTTCTTCCATCTCAGTCTTCAGTGTCTTTAGCTGCGTCTGAAGCCGGCTCTGCGGAGTGGAGGGGGACGTGGTGGAGGGGGAGGGGAGAGGGGGAGGGAGTGGTGAATTGACACAGCCTTTTCTTGGGAGAGTGACACTACATTGTCCACCCGTTGCCTGGGCTTTGTTGGGAATATCCTTTTGGGACCTTGTGGTTGTAAAATAGAAGTGGCCTCTGAAGCTTGGGGGTACTGAATGGTGACAGCTGCCTGCCTGGGGGAAGATTTCTGTCTAGATCTACTGTCCCTCTACCCCCAAGCCACCGGAAAGTTGAAGTGAGACAGGCTCCAGTTCCAATCCCAGTTCCATCCAGGACTCACTGAGTTTCAAACCAACCTAAGACAATCCGATGTTAACAATGATTGGGTTTCTGGAGAGCGTGTGGCTTACAGATCACCCCTGCAAAACAGACCTGGCCTCCCCAGGGCATCTTCTAGTTGTGAAGGGCAGTCAGAACTCAAAACCCAGCGCAGGCTGCTTCAACAGCAGCTGCTCCAGGCCCTTCTTTGGGGCAGGTAGAAAGGGGGCAGGATTCTTCTGATTTTTAAAGTTCAGATGCTGCCTAACCTCTGCTAGGCAAGTACACAGAGGTAGACAGTAGTCACTCAATAAATGCAAATGATTGGGCTTTGAGGATGGTTCTTCTATGAAGCTCAGGCTGGGGAGGGTTAAGAGTCTGGTGTGTGTGTGTGTGTGAGGGGGATGCCCCAGAAAAGGGGAGGTTCTGGCTGCTACGTCCCCCAGAAGACAATTTTAGCTTCCTAATTACAGGTGACATGAGTGTCCCTCTCTCAAAATAGGACTGGAAACTGGCTTGAGGCGGGGCTGAGTAAGCACATGGGGGAAGTTAGCATAGGGCCTCCCCAGGTGGGCTCAGGGGTCTGGGGTTTCCCCAGCCATGATTTATCTGGCAAATAACGAGGAAAAGTTTGTCTTATTTAGAAGGTAGACTGCAAGGTGAACTGGAATTATGTGTTGGAATTATGGTGCTATTCTCCTTGCTCTCTAATTGAAGAATCGGGGAAACAGAAGCACAGGGAGGGAGCCTAGGGCTGTGTCCAACACCGTCTCCCCCAGCCGTCCGGATTCCCCAGCCCTCCCCCTGCCCACCTACCTGCCGGTTCTCGCAAGCCCTGAGAGCCTCCTCCAACTCGCGACGGACACTCTCCGCCTGCTCCAGCTGCCTGGCCAGGGTCTCCTCGCGCTGGGCGGCCTCTGCCAGCCGGCGCCGCAGCTCCTCGACTTCGGGTGTGGGGTCCTGGGGCGGCGCTGTGGCGTTGAATCCCGGCTCCGGGCAGCGGGGCCCCCGGGCAGCGGAGGCAGCCAGATTCCACGCTACCAGGGCCCCACCGGCCGCCGCCGCCGCCAAAAACACGGCGACCCCGCACAGGGCCAGCACCCGCCACGCGCGCCCGGGCTCCGGCCCCGGTTCGGCCATGCCGCTGTCCCCAGCTCTGGTCCCAGACGGCCACGAGCATTTAATTGGCACCTTGGGGCGCCAGGGACACCCACGGTTCCGCCCCACCCTGTGGCTTCCCGAGTCCTACGGGAGGGGTTGGACCCCCTCCAGGGGTCAACCCATTCTGAAGGTCACAAGAAAGGGCCTGGGTACAAGTCCTGCCTCTGCATCCCACGAGCTCCCCTCTGAGCCTCGGTTTCCCTCTCTATGCAATGGGGACAGCAGTAGCCTCGGGCTCGGTGGGAGTCGGGAGCACATCTGCGGGAAGCTCCAAAGACCGCACCTGCGAAGTAGGGCCATGGGGAGGGTCTGGGGGCTGCTGTCCACATTCTGTCCATGGGAGACGGTAGGTTTCTTGATTAACCGATGGCAGCCCCTTCTGTGAACCGCCTCGAGGGCGGGAAGCGGGACCAGCGCATCTACGCGCGTCTTCTCCACTGGGCCGCTAGGGGGCAATCTTACAACGGGAGTGCGATCCAGGCCTGCTGCTGGCTCTTGAACCCCATCCCTCTTCTCCCTTTTTCTCCACCCCCTCTTCTCTCCTGGCCAGCCCACCTTCCCCTTCTCTTTTCTTGTTCTCCTCTCCCCTTACCTCCATAAGGCCCTTATTTTGTTTCTGACATCGTTTCCTCTTTGCAGCACCTGCTCTCCTTCCTTAAAGCTCTTCTGCCAAAGGCATTCCCCAGGATCTTTGCACTGGCCATTTCCTCCACTACGGAACCCTCTCCTCTCTTTTTGCTTAAATTACTCCTCTTAGATGGTGGCCTCCTCCAGGAACTCTGCTCTTCCACTAGCTCAGGTCCCCTTTTGACCAGCTCCCACCTTTATGTTTCTGATTCCTGGCTGCCTCCCCCATCAGACTGGGTTAGAGCCCCAAAAGCCAAGTGTACATTTGCCTTGTTCCCATCATGCCCGCACAGGTCTGGTACATAGTAGGTGCACAATTATTGTGAGTTGAGCATGAATGTCTGTGTGTCCACTTCATTCCAGACGAAGAAACCAGAGCCCAGAGAGGCGGAGCCTCAGGCCAGAGACACGCAGCAGCAGTTGGGCATAACCTGCAACTCCTAGCTCTCAACCATTTCTCAGCCACTGGGTGGGGACACCACTTTGGAGTCAGGTCTCAGAGGTAGAGGACAAAATAGTAAGGGTAGAAAAAAAGTGCTGGGGAGAAAAAGTTTATACCTGGATCATTGTGTGGAGGTTTGGGGATCACAGTGCTCAAATTGGGCAGATCTGCTCTCTCCATCTGCAAAACACAGCCTAGAAGTGGTGGGGAGGGGGAGCAGCAACTCTGTCTTGGGGCTCTGCAGCGGCCTAAGTTGGGGGTGAGGAGCAAAGAGGGAGTAGGAAAAGGGAAGGGGTCACGCGGGAAGGTTTGTTTCCTGAGCAGAAGAAAAGTCACCAGAAGTGGAGGCTCATTTCTTTAACAGCGTGGAGACCCCGAGCGAGTCCAGTGAGTTCCCTGGACCCCAGTGTCCTCAGCACAAAGGGGCTGTCGTGGGAGGAGGAATGACTCAGTGCTTGTAGAGTGGCACCATGAACCCTTCCTGAGACCTTTTGCAAGCCAGGAGCAGAGGCAGAAAGGGGACAGGCAACAGACCCCCCTGTCACTGGGATGGAGCATCCTGAGGAGGTCCCCAAAGGGAGGTGGACCTCTGCTCAGGCCATGAGGGTCCTTGATGTCATTGCATAAAGGGGCTGGGGATGTGGCTCAGTGGTAGAGCACTCGCCTGGCATGTGTGAGGCCCTGGGTTAGATTCTCAGCACCCCATAAAAATAAAGATAGTAAAAAAAAAAAAAGAATTTAAGGATGGGTCGAATAAGACAGAGATTGATTTTATGAACTGAAGGCAGGAAGTCCACACTCTCAAGGGACGGCGCTGGAGATGGTGCCTTGGCGTGTGCGGTCTGTAAACACCACCTACGAGGGTGTTGGTGACGTGACATGGTGATCATGACCTACTTGGGTTTCTCCTCCTCCTCTTTCTTCTCCTTTATGAAAAATTTCTACTGATGCGCCATCTGGGGGTTTCAACACTCCACTGTGTGAATTTAAACAATAGATTTGTGTGACCTTGAGGGTTTTATTGGGAGTGTGATATATGGATGGAGTAATCAGATCCCCAAAATGGAAATTACAGAGAAACCTATTTGTTGAGCAAAAAGCAGTCTTGGACTTGTTTTTCTCTAAGCCAGGTCGAGAGAGAGGTTATCAGAGGACCTGTGGGTAAGGTGGGATAACTGACTTAATAGTTTTGTTTGCGGTCAAGGTATGCGGGAGTGCAATTTAAATCTGGACATTAAATCATGTGAAGTAGAATTTAATAAATGGCTGCTCTCATTTTGTCCCATGTGTTCTTTCTACCTGTCCCTGTGTCCTCTGTCCTGCCTCATACCCTGTAGGGCACAAGTTCTCATTGGAGGTGTTTTTGGTCCCCAGAGGGCACTTGGCAATTTTTTTGTTATTACAACCAGGGGAGGGAATGTGACCACTGTCAGGGATGCTGCTAAATGTCTACGGTGCACAGGATGTCCCCACCACAAAGGATGATCCAGCCCAAAATGTCAGCAGGGCTGAGGCTGAGACCCTGACCCAGACTCAGGAGTGAGCAGTGAGTAATCAGGCAGCAGGCAGAGCATGGGCAAAGGCCCTGAGGCAGAATGGAGCCTGGTGAGGTCCACACACAGAAAAGCTGAGGGAGGGTGGAGGTGGGGGGTGGGGAACGGGGAAGTCAGGGTCCTGATGGCCAGGGCCTCTGCAGTGGGGCTTTGAGGGTGCCTGGGAGAACAGTGGGAGAGGAACTGTGGGACCCAAGTACAGTGCAAAAATCTGGGGCATAGGACTTCTGGCTCCATGGACAGGAAATGGCATAAACAATAGTTGGGATTCCAAGGAAACTCGGAGGAAGGGAGAAAATAAAGAGGGAAAGGACTGGGGGTCCTGAGAGGAGCCAATCAGGTGGGTGAACTCCCTCAATTTGGGAGAAGTAGAGTCTCTGGAGAGGGGTTCCCAGAACTGGCCAGTGCAGGATGAACGAGACCCTGGGGATGGAGGGGGAACACTGAGAGAATCCTGGCCTGGATGTGTCTGCAGATTCCCGCGAAGTCCCAACCCAGCGCTTTCTGGGGGAAGCAGGACAAGGGTCAGGGCAGCCATGATTTCCTCATTAGAACCTCAGACATCAGGAGGGACCCAGGGAGGGGAGCCGATGGTTGGCGCTATCAGCTCTAAACACGGTGAGGGTTTTTAAGATGATTCCAGCAGGCAGGGCCGGGTGGCCCACACACGCTGTGATCCCAGTGGCCGGGGAGGCTGAGGCAGGAGGATCGAGAGTTCAAAGCCAGCCTCAGCAATTTAGCGAGGCCCTAAGCAACTCAGTGAGACCCTGTCCCCGAATAAAATACAAAATAGGCTGGGGAAGTATCTCAGTGGTGAAGCCCCCCTGGGTTAAAAAAAAAAAATTAATTCCAGCCGAGAAGGCGGGGGAGGCCCTAGTGGTGTCTGAAGGCATTTGGGAAGGGTGCCCACATCATCCAGATGTCCACCCTCACCTGCAGGGGAGGACTCAGATGCTTGGGGGTGATACAATGACACTCCAGAAACTTGAGAGTAAGAGGTCTTTCCTCCCAAAAGAGATGTTTATTTTTTGGAGCTCAAAGACCCCCAGAGGAAAGCAACACCCACCCCTAATACAGCAAGAGGCAGCGTCCCCACCCTTCCACCATCCCCGGCCCAAGTAGGGTGGCTTCCAAGGAAGCAGCCCCGCTCCCACCCAGCTGCTTGGCCTCCCCTCCCCCATTGCCCCACGGCCCCTCCACAGCTGCCCCATGGCCCCTTCACTTTTACTCGTCCCCTCTCCCCTCAGTAACCAGCTGGGTCAAGGGACAGTCGCTGGGAAAAGCAGAGGTGCAGCCGGACCAGTTCAGATTGGGGCCTAGGAGACATGATAAGAGAGACTCAGGATAGACTGAAGGCAGACAGAACAGAGCCCGCAGCCTCCCTAAACCCCGCCCCCCCCCAAGCCCCCCCCCCCGGGCCCCCCCGCCCCCCCCCCCCCCCCCCCGCCCCCTCTCCCCCCAACGGGGAGGCCCCCCCCCCCCCCATCCCTTGGAGTCCCTGCCCCCCTCCCAGCGCCCCCAGCTTCCTCCTCCCCAGGGCCGCCCAGGATCCTGACCTCTGGCCTCCTGGGGCCTCAGAGCAGCGGAATGGCGAGGCTCAGGAGCAGGAGCCACATGGACAGCTGCAGAACGATGGTGGCCTGGGAGCTGGCCGGGATGGTCTGGGTGTTCTCCGTTCTAGGTGACGATGGGGGACTCAGGCAGCCGCTGGGCCATCATCTTGCATGACAGCCCTGGCCACCCTCCCCACCGAGCCTCGTCCCCACCCCAGTCACTGGGCAGTAGCCACCTAGGGCTCTTGGACCCTACGGACAGAGTCTTCCTTTTCGAGGACTTGAACCTTACCCCCACCCCCCACCTCAGAGGCCATGTGGATTTTTGGAGCTAAGCGGGTGGGGGCGGGGGTTGGAAGTGGGAGAAGCATGGCCCAGGGCGGGGCGGGGGTCTTTGACCTTGGTCGCTCCAGTTTTTTCAAAGTCTCCTGCAGCCTTTGGTTCAATTCGGTGACATTTCCTGGGGGACCAGATAGAATGAGGGGGCCTCAGCACGTGACCGTGCCCCTCACCCACCAGGCGCTTGGGCACAACCCCGCCCCTTCTCCAGCCCGGTCCTAGACGTCCTGCCCCACCCCTCAAAGTCCCCTGTCCCCTTCTCACTCTCAAGTTCCTGCACTCGCGCCTGTAGCTGCAGCTCCTGGGCCTTCAGTTTCACCTGGGACAGAACAGAGGGTCAGAAACCGGTTCTGAGCCGGGCGCCTGGCCGCACGCCTGTCATCCCAGCGGCTCAGGAGGCTGAGGTAGGAGGATCCTGAGTTCAAAGCCAGCCTCAGCGACTTAGTGAGGCTCTAAGCAACTCAGTGAGACCCTGTCTCTAGATAAAATACAAAAAAAAGGGCTGGGGACATGGCTCAGTGGTGAAGCGCCCCTGGGTTCAATCCCTGGTACCAAACAATCAAAAACGAGTTCTGGCTTTGCAGTGGTCTGTCGCTATCCTGGGCATGAAGCCCCAGTTCCTGCTGTCACAGGGCTTCCCTCTAAACTCCTTTCACATTCCCTGACAACCTCTCTGCACCTCAGGTTCCAACCTCCAAGAATGGCCACCAGCATGCACCCCCACAGGGTCGCCCATAAATGTGGGATCCTTTAGATAGATAGGGTTTTTCAACATGGGAATTGGGAGGCTCTCTGTATCCAAACCCTAGCAGAAATTTCCAGATCCTCTACCTTATCACCCAAGAAGATTTAGCAGATTCTTCTCAAACTCAGAACACGTCGTGATTTCCCAACTCAGACATTCAGGGTCTCAGTGAAAATTTCAGATTCAGTAAAAATTTCCAGAGCCCCTTCTTCAAGGCCTGGTGAAGTCACTGTCCAGCCCTGAGTGGGGGTTTCTGTTTCCTGAAGACTGGTACCCACTGAGAATTTAAGCTTCCCCACACCCGTGCCCTGGAAAAACGTCTGCAGATTTCTTCAACTCCTGCCGGGAATACCGAGGCCCCTGATTTGGGGGCTGCTGAAAGTTTTAAGGACTCACTCACACCAGTGCCCTGGAAAGTATTTGGTCCCTAAATCCTGGTGGGGAAATCCAGACCTTCCTATTGTGGGGGACCAGGGACAGATTCCCAGCTTCCCCTCTCCCCGGGGTCCTGTGGGGCCCCAGCCCTCCCTAGGGTGGCGGTGGCTTACCACAGTCTGGTTACAGGTGTCAGCTCGGGTCTCGGCCGCCAGACTCTCCTCCTTGGCTTGGATCAGCTGCTTCTTCAGGAGCTGGGTGACATTGTGGCACTGCCTCTCCAGCTCGAGACCATTCTGGCAGGCTTCACTGTAATATTTGACCATGAAAATGGACAGAGCGATTATCAGGCCCGCCATGACGAATCCCACCAACAACCACAGCCAGCACCTTCGAGGGGTGCCCTCCTTCATTTGATCATCCATGGGCACTGGCAAGTAGTGGTAAAAAGAGGGTGCCATCCCCGTTTCCCTAAGATGTAAGGGGTTTGGACAGAGGCTCGAGCCCTGGAATCTTCTAGAGACCGCCCCCTTATTAGCATAGGGGAGTTCCTGACTAATAGCCAAGTTCCAGGAAGTCCCCTGTCTGCCTGCTGGAGGGCTGAACAGGCCCAAGCAAGCTCCAAAACATTCAGGTTTTGGTTTCAGTTTCCTAGAAGAGAGATAGGTTTTATTTTTCTTGAATTTTCATCCTCCTCAGCTAGATGCTGGCCACTGGGACAGCCATGTATTGTCCCTGCCCTCTCCTGCACGCAGGCCTCCTCTATCCTGTACCCTGACCTGAGAGGCATGGTCCGGCCACCCCTGCTGGGCCACTCCCCAGTCGGGGAAGCTGAGGCCGCCAGGTTGAGCAGTCAACAGGGGCTTGGTTGGAACCTTCGAGGTTGGCTCAACAGGCCTGATTTTGTGTTCGGGGGGTCTCCGGGGGTGACCCAGCAGCACCTTAGGGGGACTTGGGAGTCCGAGAGGGTGCTGGGAACCTGGAGAGGAGGAGGTGGCTCAGACCACATTGCCCCATTCATCACCCGGCAGCAAACCAGGTACCCCCACCCCCCACACACACCCCCACCCCCAGCCCTGTCCTGGCTGCTGCTTCTAGAATCTGCGCCTGCAACTTGGACAGGCCCAGCGAGAGCTCTGCTTGCTTATCCATATCGTGAGGCAAGAACAGGACTGGCTTCTCCGGAGCCCACAGAGGGGCGGTTCAGTATCTAGCAGGGGGGCTCCTGGATGGGCAGACCACCCAGCAGGCCTGCGGCTCAGGGCAGGTGGCCAGGGGTAGGGAGCATATTCTGAAGAAAGGTGCCAGGTACCATTTGCAACATGCTGATCACAAAAGGCCAGAAGGGTCATCCAGGGGACAGGCCCAGGAGGGGCTGGACCCTAGGGTGGGGCACTGGGAGGGAGAGCTCAGTCTCTGGGGGAAATGGGCCTGGTTACAGACTGCCAGGTGCTGGTGGTGACAGCCGGGGGTAGCAGGGGTTGAATGTTCTTCTGGTGAATTCTTCAGCTACAGCCTGGCCACAGCCCAGATTCCATTGAGGCAGCCATTCTGAGTGTTTGTGTCCAGCTGGGCCAGACGGCACATGGGGGCCAAGGCCAGTGTCCCAGGCCTCCGCGAGAGCTGCTCTAAGGGCCCCAGCCTGGCACACACACGTCCCTTTCCCTAGATCCCACCCCGCTCCTAGCCACATAGCAGCCAAGGAACGAGGGGTGGGGAGATCTTGCTAAAAAGGCCCAGGGGGACTTGTGTGTCCCATGAGGAGGGCCTGACAACACCCCGGCCAGGACTCCAGGTGCAGAGCCACCGCCCTTGCCAAAGCTGCCGCTATTCTGGCTTCAAACATGGTGGGCAGTTTGGGACCAGGTCAGAGGCCAGGTGTGATGTTATGAATTCGTGGTCTTTGTCCCAATTTCCTGGCATTCAGTCCCTAAGACCCTGGGCAGGCATCTTGCGTGCTAGTGAGGTGACTGGTGACCAGCAGCCCCTAGATAGCTTCTGATGGGGACTAGTCACCAGAAAGACTAGGGCAGGATAAAGAGTTGGAACTTTGAGCCCTACTCCCACCCTCCAGAGGGGGAAAGGAGTGAAGCCTGAGTCAATCTTCCTTGGCAGAGGCTGTAATCCTTTAGGCCTCTGTCAGCTCAAAGGGACAGGGTTCTGGTGTTAGGGGACAGACAGGTGTGAATGGTGGGAACATGAGGTTCACAGAATAATTCTATAAAATGGGCCCACTGGGCCGACCCCCACATACTATCTTTTCCAAGAAACAAATTACCCGGAGCCCTGCCTGGCTTCAGGGGACAGGATATGTCACATTCCTCAGCAAACTACCTGTTATCTGCAGGGGAAATGCAGGCCCAAAAAAAGGTTAAAAAGAGGAACCCAAGTTACCCTGAAGGGGGAGATGTTTGTGACCCTTTCACAGACCATATCCTGAAAACTCAGGGAGATAAGCATAATATTTCCTAACCACAAAATCTGTAAGAATTCGTGGCTAAGAGCCCAATTAGAGCCGGAAGTGGTGGCATATATCTGTAATCCCAGCGGCCCGGGAGGCTGAGACTGGAGGCTCGGAAATCAAAGCCAGCCTCAGCAATTTAGCAAGGCCCTAAGCAACTCAGTGAGACCCAGTCTCTAAATAAAATATTAAAAAAGGGCTGGGGATGGGGCTCAGTGGTTTAGCACCCCTGGGCTCAATTCCTGGTACAAAAAAAAAAAGAAAGAAAGAAACTGATAAAGAGACAAAAATAGGAGAAAAGTGTGCGCTCTGCCCATCTACTGTATCCTCAGGGGTAGTTAGTGTCATCCCAAGGTGATGGGGGGGGGGGCTCAGGTGCCCTATGTCTATTAGGAGTTGGGGGCAGGAAGAATAGTGAGTGTAGACAATTTGGAGGGGTCATGGGTGGTTTTTCGGGGATCTTAATGTTCTTGGAGGCAGGACAAAGCCCACGTGGCTTGCAGGGTGGACCGTGGTTTGTAAATGATTCTCTTTGGGACCCACAGAGGACAATGGTGTTGGTGACAGGGGTCCAGGTGTGTGGGCAGACATCACGAAGCCTCCTTGCTGCTATAGGAGTTTGCGATGAGTTAAATAATTCACCAGTTAATTATTTCTGTAGTGCTGGGGATGGGACCCGGGCCCGTGCGTATTCTAGACAAGTGCTCTGCCACTGAGCTATACTCACACCTGGCTCCTTTTTGGGGGGCGGCAGGTAACTGGGAATTGAACTCAGGGGTTTTACCATTGAGCTACATTCTCAGTCCTTTTTATTTTTTATTTTGAGATAGTGTCTAGGTTGCTTAGGGCCTCGCTGAGTTGCTGAGGCTGGCCTCAAACCTGTGATCCTCCTGGCTCAGCCTCCCACATTGCTGGGACTTCAGGCATGTGCCGTCATGCCCAGCTTGGGGCTTGGTTCCTTTAATTTAACATCACAGCATCCCTGGGGGGTCTATCATGGGGCCACATGAAAGCTCTGCTTCACATAACTAGCTCTATGCATCTCTTAGTCTGAATCCTTTGCAAAATGATTCAGAAGAAACTGGTAAAGGGCTGGGGCTTTTGAGAAACAGAGGCAGCCCTGAAAAACAGACCCCAGATTCCTAAGCACTAAAACTGACCCCCTCACTGACTGATAGAACAAGCTGCAAACCTCCGGTGCCTGAAGAAAATTGATGTGCTCCCTAGACCCCCTCTCAGGACAACCTGTATAAGCCCAGGTCCTTTCTTTGTTCAGGGGCTCATTTTCCACCAGGAAAGTGGGTCCCACCACAGCGTCATTTCGTCCCTGTATCCCCTGCTCCGGTGTGAAACTTCCTTCCTGAATAAAGTGCTGAGCTGATTTGTGAAGTTTGCGTTCATCCTGGTCTTTTTGCACCAACACAACTCAGAGGAGGAAAAGTTTATGTATGTATTTATTTATTTTAAATTCTAATTTGTTATATATGATGGCAGAATGCATTACGATTAATAGTACACATATAGAGCACAATGTTTCATATCCCTGGTTATATACAATGTATATGCACACCATTGGTGTCTTCATACTGGTACTTAGGGTAATGATGTCCATCTCATTCCACCGACTTTCATACCCCCCTGCGCCCTCCCTTCCCCTCCCACCCCTCTGCCCTATCTAGAGTCCGTCTATTCCTCCCATGCTCCCCCTCCCTATCCCACTATGAATCAGCCTCCTTATAGCAGAGAAAACATTCAACATTTGGTTTCTTGGGGTTGGCTAACTTCAATTAGCATAATACTCTCCAACACCATCCATTTACCTGCAAATGCCATGATTTTATTCTATTTTATTGCTGATAAAATGTTCCAATGGAACATTTTATCCATTCATCTATTGAAGGGCATCTAGGTTGGTTCCACAGTTTAGCTACTGTGAATTGTACTGCTATAAGCATTGATGTGGCTGTGTCCGTGTACTAGGCTGTTTTTAAGTCCTCTGGGTATAGACCGAGGAGAGGGAGAGCTGGGTCAAATGGTGGTTTCAGTCCCAGATTTCCAAGGAGTCTCCACACTGCTTTCCATAGTGGCTGCACCAATTTGCAGTCCCACCAGCAATGTATGAGTGTGCCTTTTCCCCCACATCCTCGCCAACACTTATTGTTGTTTGTCTTCATAATAGCTGCCATTCTGACTGGAGTGAGATAAAATCTTAGAGTCGTTTTGATTTGCATTTCTCTAATTGCTAGAGATGATGAGCATTTTTTTTATATATTTGTTGATTGATTGCATATCCTCTTCTGAGAAGTGTCTGTTCAGGTCCTTGGCCCATTTGTTGACTGGGTTATTTTATTTTATTCGGTGTTTAGCTTTTTGAGTTCTCTATATACCCTAGAGATTAGTGCTCTATCTGACGTGTGGGAGTAAAAATTTGCTCCCAGGATGTAGGCTCTCTGTTCACCTCACAGATTGTTTCTTTTGCTGAGAAGAAACTTCTTAGTTTGAATCCATCCCATGTATTAAAGGAAAAGTTTATTTTGCGCTCATGGCTCCAGAGGTTCAGTGGCAGAGGGCGTGGCAGAGGGCAGCTGCTGGGGTCCTGGCCACAGGGGCGAAGAGAGAGACAGGGAGGAAGCAGAGTCAGAATACGACCCCCAAGGCACGCCCCAGGACCCACTTCCTCCAGTCGAACCCTGCCTGCCTTCAGTTACCACTCAGGAATCCATGTGGATTATTAATCCACCAAGTGAATTAATCCAGCGATGAGGTTCCAGCTCCCACAGGAGGACGGCCCCTTAGGGGAGCATCCTCAGTTCCTGTCTGAGGGTAACTGCTCCCACTTAGTGGGGTGATCTTGTCACGGGGTGACCTTGTCCTGGGGAGGTCAGTCTATGAGGCACTGTTGCTCTTGGCACCCAGGTGACTGCAGGGTTAGGGCAATGGCTGGAAGTTTCTAGAAACCACTCCATGGGTCCAGGACAGGGTGCTGTAAAAAGCTGATAGCAGAGCGTCCCTGCAAATCTGGCCTCAAGTCCTGCCTCGGTCTTGAAGGGGGATGACATAGGTGAGGTCCATGGAGAGC